ATATATTGTGTCGTCTGGTTTTGTATATTATAGATATATAACATACGTCTAGCTAAGCGGACTAGTTAGGAGAGGAACACACTATATGAACAGTGACATTCTATTAGTACTAAAGCGACGACTGCTCTTCATTGTACAAAGACAAAATGATCTCTTAACGGCCAACCGCGATACATTCAACAACTTTGTCCACGTTAAAAGTAAACATTTTTATCCTTAATGTCCAAGCTGTGAGAGGGGATCTCTCATCGTCATGGACTCCGGGTTCGGATCTTTGGAGTTCTGACAAATCCCATATCGCTCGATCCGTGAAAAGAATTTCTATGTTTTCATATCTAGTACTTCGCTCATCTGGATTTGGATTTTGGTGAATCGGTGTTGAGAGCTGGATCGGGTTGGAGTGGTGTATATTATCCCATTCTTTATTATGTCTTTAAAGAAAATAATTAATTATTTAATCTAAAATTCATATTATTATTGTGCTTGAAAATGACAATAATTGAAATATATTAGTATACTATGACAATTTTAGAAAGCTTTAATAATTTAAGTGCAAAAATCCATGTTAGTGGTCACGCTATAAAGTTTGACTTTATTATTTTTTTTGAATCATAAAGTAGACGATAAAAAAAGATTAGTCGAAAATTGGTGAACAGATGTTAGGACGATAACTGATTTTGTCATTATACTATCTCTATTCTCTCTATATCTCTGTATAGTCTATACTATATATATAACTATATATAATTAAATGGAAAATGAAAGAAATCCATACGAGGAAGGAGCTAGAATTCATACGTGTACATTCTAGAATTGGATAATACAAACAGGTTTTAGCGAAGATGATAACTGAAATAAAATAAAAATTTTTTTTTTAGTGGAATCGGATTATGTCTATATCCGTAATCTGATCCATATCTATGCGGATTTTTATTTTAAATTCATTCTATATTTGATTCACCACTGTTCGGAATCGCGGTTTTTATCCGCTAACATTCGAATTTACACCAGCGCTTTGATAATTCAATGGATCAGCCAAATTCATTCATCTCCGTACACCCTAATATATACAATCACGTAAATTAGAGCTTTGATAATTTAAATACAATAAATAAAAAATATTGGTCGGTCTTCTTTTCTGTGGAAGAAAATAAATAGTATACAACATCCTTCTCATTCCTGCAACAAAACAGTGGTCTATCTCATGGTATACTTTCCTTGTCATCTTATGTGGTCTATCCGTCATACCAACCCAGATCAAGAATAACTCGTCACAGCAAGCAAGACGAGAGCGCAAATGCCAGAAAGCTCAGGCGGTGCCGTGGCCTGACTTGGCCACCTTAGTCTCTTGTAGGCGGTCAAAACTCCCTCATATATATTGGGTAAAATGGCTTGATAAAAATGGGACCTATTCTTCAAGAAATTCTAATTGTACTGTTTTGTTATATTTTTACGGTGGGTAAATGTTAAAAATAATTTTATTACCAATTCTTAATAGTTTTGATGTAGCAGACTTCATACCTGGTGCAGGTAAGTTCTTCTTTGTATCATATGTTATTTTTCTTTAAGCGAAAAAAATGAAGACATTACTATACTTCTTATTTTGTAATTTACTTATCACATTAGTGGATTTTTACGTTTTTCTTTTTTAATATTATGTTAAATTTATGTAAATTATAAAATTATTAAACTAAGATTAAGCTATATTATTTTTAGTTAATACTCATACTGATTCTAAATCGCTTAAAATAATTATTTGGTTATATCTACATCGGTAAACATGGAAAAAAACAGATTTTATTACTCCTTTTAAATTCATAAATGCTAACAAAGATTATTTTGAAAATAAATTTATTTTATCAAATAGTAACTAAAATATTATGAAATGATTTAAGTGTTTATTAAGAAGCTCGCTCGTATTATCTCATTTTACTTCTGTAAATATGTTAATGCTTTAAAATTTTTACTGCTTTTTTTTACTTTCTTCTCTCAAATTATAAAGAAATAGTACTCTGATTTACCCTCCAAATATTAAATATACAAAATTGGATCCTAAAATGGACTATATATTAATTACTTGATGTAGATTAAAAAACAGATAAAGATTTAGGTTGTCAATATCCAACGGACAAAAGTAAAATTAGACCTACAAGCTAATTAACTCATTCAACAGATGGAACTGTAAGAGAAAAAAAATGCCATATAGCTGAGCATGCCAATATTATTGTAGGACGATAAATAGTAGGCGTCATAACTATTGTTAGAAGCTTAGGCCACATTTATGTCCGTGGCAGAATTATTTGACTTCCACCTTATAAATTGCCGACCATGTTGATTGACTACGGTTAACACATTGAATTGTAGGCGTCGTCACACAGATTCATTTGTTGAACACCTCGGGAGAAGGAAAAGAATGCTGGTTTCGTCTGTGATTAGATAGCGTATTTACGGCCAAGGCCAGCCCTTTGTCGCTCTGAGTCTAACGAAGAGCCTTCATGCACTTTGCCGTAAATCATTTTTTTTTAATAAACATGTTTGTTAAAAGAAACAAAGCCATAAAAGACTAGAAGTAATTTCTAAACAAATATCTACAAGCACAATCCTATTTTAAAATTCTAGTGGGGTTTCACTTTGTTAGCGCAGACGAACAGCTTTAACGCATTCTTTCGGCAATTAGACATTTACTTCAATGGAATTTACTTGCTCTCGTTTTCCGACAAACGCTATGGCCACGGCAGTGAGATTGGGCTTTCCTGATTTTTCTCTGCTCCTTTTCTTCTGGATATCAAGGAAGCGTCTTATAAAAAACTGCAAGGGAGTAAGAGAGGAGAAAGCAGCGCAAAAAGCGGGCGGCGCTTGCCTCTTGAATAGGGCCACCTTCACCTCTCTTGGTGGGGCCAGGACCCGTCCCACACTATATTGGGCGGTACATTGCTGGGACACAAGATATGTGGCTAGATCTCGCGCATCTTCACAAATTTCAAGATGTGGGAGTGCAGTCGGGAAAAAATTTGGTTGAGTTAGCGAAGTGGGGAAGAGAATTGCGCCAAGAGAGAGTGTGCTGTGTAGAACCCACAAAGACGCGAGCGCGAAGAGCGGTGTTTGCAAATCAGGCCGCGTGTCCAGAAAGGAGAAAGGGGAATTGGTTGGCTTTTCCGGGGCAGCAGTGCCGCTTTGGTGTGGCTTTCCCCCGCGCGCGCCCGGGGCCCCCCC